GTTCAGGGTCTGAGGGAAGGGGGGGCAGTAGTTCAAGGTCTGGGGGAAGGGGGGGCAGTAGTTCAGGGTCTGGGGGAAGGTGGGGGCAGTAGTTCAGGGTCTGAGGGAAGGGGGGGCAGTAGTTCAAGGTCTGGGGGAAGGGGGGCAGTAGTTCAGGGTCTGGGGGAAGAGAGAGCAGTAGTCCAGGGTCTGGGGGAAGGGAGAGCAGTAGTTCAGGGTCTGAGGGAAGGGGGGGCAGTAGTTCAGGGTCTGGGGGAAGAGAGAGCAGTAGTTCAGGGTCTGGGGGAAGGGGAAGCAGTAGTTCAGGGTCTGAGGGAAGGGGGGCAGTAGTTCAGGGTCTGAGGGAAGGGGGGCAGTAGTTCAGGGTCTGAGGGAAGGGGGGCAGTAGTTCAGGGTCTGAGGGAAGGGGGGCAGTAGTTCAGGGTCTGGGGGAAGGGGGGCAGTAGTTCAGGGTCTGAGGGAAGGCAGAGCAGTAGTTCAAGGGTCTGGGGAAGGGGGGCAGTAGTTCAGGGTCTGAGGGAAGGGGGGCAGTAGTTCAGGGTCTGAGGAAGGGGGGCAGTAGTTCAGGGTCTGGGGGAAGGGGGCAGTAGTTCAGGGTCTGGGGGAAGGGGGGCAGTAGTTCAGGGTCTGAGGGAAGGGGGGCAGTAGTTCAGGGTCTGGGGGAAGGGGGGGCAGTAGTTCAGGGTCTGAGGGAAGGGGGGCAGTAGTTCAGGGTCTGGGGGAAGGGGGGCAGTAGTTCAGGGTCTGGGGGAAGGGGGGCTGTAGTTCAGGGTCTGGGGGAATGGGGGCAGTAGTTCAGGGTCTGGGGGAAGGGGGGCTGTAGTTCAGGGTCTGGGGGAATGGGGGCAGTAGTTCAGGGTCTGGGGGAAGGGGGGCAGTAGTTCAGGGTCTGAGGGAAAGGGGGCAGTAGTTCAGGGTCTGGGGGAAGGGGGGCAGTAGTTCAGGGTCTGAGGGAAGGGGGGCAGTAGTTCAGGGTCTGGGGGAAGGGGGGCAGTAGTTCAGGGTCTGAGGGAAGGGGGGCAGTAGTTCAGGGTCTGGGGGAAGGGGGGCAGTAGTTCAGGGTCTGGGGGAAGGGGGGGCAGTGGTTCAGGGTCTGGGGGAAGGGAGAGCAGTAGTTCAGGGTCTGGGGGAATGGGGGGGCAGTAGTTCAGGGTCTGAGGGAAGGGGGGCAGTAGTTCAGGGTCTGGGGGAAGGGGGGGGTAGTAGTTCAGGGTCTGGGGGAAGGGGGGGCAGTAGTTCAGGGTCTGAGGGAATGGTCAGCAGTAGTTCAAGGCCCGGGATGAACAAAGAGCAGTAGTTCAGGGTCTCAGAGAAGCTATTTAGAATACTGTGTCTAGCATAACAATGTTGGAACATGTCTCCCGTGCGCGCGCGTTACGACGCCTGGGACACAGTGTTGACAACACACTGCTCGCGGGCGCTCTCCGCGACGACTCACAAGTACACCATAAAGGCCTGCCCGGTTAGTTTCTTGACATTTAACTTTGACCTTTCCTGAACAACAAAAGGTCCTGTTTTGGGGCTTTTTTGTGTGTTTATTTATCATATCAGCGGCGCTTCCGGGGTATATCTGTACCAGAGGTGGCTGGCGTCATACTTGGTCTCATGCCATTATCTTTAATTATATTCTGCAATCTCCCTTTTTTATGTATAATCCTTCAACATTCTCCACAGTGCACCACAATCCTGTACAGTTCGCTACAATCCTTCACCTTGCGCAATCCTCCAGTATCCTTGACCATCCTGCACAGTCCTCCAGTATCCTTGACCATCCTGCACAGTCCTCCACAACCCTCCACCATCCTGCACAGTCCTCCACAACCCTTCACCATCCTGCACAGTCCTCCACAACCCTCCACCATCCTCCACAGTCCTCCACAACCCTTCACCATCCTGCACAGTCCTCCACAACCCTTCACCATCCTGCACAGTCCTCCACAACCCTTCACCATCCTGCACAGTCCTCCACTACCCTTCACCATCCTACACAGTCCTCCACTACCCTTCACCATCCTGCACAGTCCTCCACAACCCTTCACCATCCTGCACAGTCCTCCACAACCCTTCACCATCCTACACAGTCCTCCACAACCCTTCACCATCCTGCACAGTCCTCCACTACCCTTCACCATCCTCCACAGTCCTCCACTACCCTTCACCATCCTGCACAGTCCTCCACAACCCTTCACCATCCTCCACAGTCCTCCACAACCCTTCACCATCCTCCACAGTCCTCCACAACCCTCCACCATCCTGCACAGTACTCCACAACCCTTCACCATCCTCCACAGTCCTCCACAACCCTTCACCATCCTCCACAACCCTCCACCATCCTGCACAGTCCTCCACAACCCTTCACCATCCTGCACAGTCCTCCACAACCCTTCACCATCCTCCACAGTCCTCCACAACCCTCCACCATCCTGCACAGTCCTCCACAACCCTTCACCATCCTGCACAGTCCTCCACAACCCTTCACCATCCTGCACAGTCCTCCACAACCCTCCACCATCCTGCACAGTCCTCCTTAACCCTTCACCATCCTGCACAGCCCTCCACAACCCTTCACCATCCTCCACAGTCCTCCACAACCCTCCACCATCCTGCACAGTACTCCACAACCCTTCACCATCCTGCACAGCCCTCCACAACCCTTCACCATCCTCCACAGTCCTCCACAACCCTCCACCATCCTGCACAGTACTCCACAACCCTTCACCATCCTGCACAGCCCTCCACAACCCTTCACCATCCTCCACAACCCTCCACCATCCTGCACAGTACTCCACAACCCTTCACCATCCTGCACAGCCCTCCACAACCCCTTCACCATCCTCCACAGTCCTCCACAACCCTCCTGCACAGTACTCCACAACCCTTCACCATCCTGCACAGCCCTCCACAACCCTCCACCATCCTGCACAGTACTCCACAACCCTTCACCATCCTCCACAGTCCTCCACAACCCTTCACCATCCTGCTCAGCCCTCCACAACTCTTCACCATCCTCCACAGTCCTCCAAAACCCTTCACCATCCTGCACAGCCCTCCACAACCCTTCACCATCCTCCACAACCCTCCACCATCCTGCACAGTACTCCACAACCCTTCACCATCCTGCACAGCCCTCCACAACCCTTCACCATCCTCCACAGTCCTCCACAACCCTCCTGCACAGTACTCCACAACCCTTCACCATCCTGCTCAGCCCTCCACAACCCTTCACCATCCTCCACAGTCCTCCACAACCCTCCACCATCCTGCACAGTACTCCACAACCCTTCACCATCCTGCACAGCCCTCCACAACCCTTCACCATTCTCCACAGTCCTCCACAACCCTCCACCATCCTGCACAGTACTCCACAACCCTTCACCATCCTGCACAGCCCTCCACAACCCTTCACTATCCTCCACAGTCCTCCACAACCCTCCACCATCCTGCACAGTCCTCCACAACCCTCCACCATCCTGCACAGCCCTCCACAACCCTTCACCATCCTCCACAGTCCTCCACAACCCTCCACCATCCTGCACAGTACTCCACAACCCTTCACCATCCTGCACAGCCCTCCACAACCCTCCACCATCCTGCACAGTACTCCACAACCCTTCACCATCCTGCACAGCCCTCCACAACCCTCCACCATCCTGCACAGTACTCCACAACCCTCCACCATCCTGCACAGTACTCCACAACCCTTCACCATCCTCCACAGTCCTCCACAACCCTTCACCATCCTGCTCAGCCCTCCACAACCCTCCACCATCCTGCACAGTACTCCACAACCTTGGCGTCTCAGTCTCTCCAATATTCGCGAGAAAAAAAACATTGTTGTGTTTCATGCTTGAGAACACAAATGTCTTCAACGTTGAGCCCGGGAGAGTAAGACCTGTGTGGGACTTTTTCAACAGGACTGGACGTGTGGCAGTGCTCTGGTGGGACTTTTTCAACAGGACTGGACGTGTGGTAGTGCTTTGGTGGGACTTTTTCAACTGGACTGGACGTGTGGCAGTGCTCTGGTGGGACTTTCTCAACAGGACTGGTCGTGTGGCAGTACTCTGGTGGGACTTCCTCAACAGGACTGGTCGTGTGGCAGTGCTCTGGTGGGACTTTCTCAACTGGACTGGTCGTGTGGTAGTACTCTGGTGGGACTTTCTCAACTGGACTGGTCGTGTAGCCGTACTCTGGTGGGACTTTCTCAACAGGACTGGTCGTGTAGCAGTACTCTGGTGGGACTTTCTCAACAGGACTGGTCGTGTGGCAGTGCTCTGGTGGGACTTTCTCAACAGGACTGGTCGTGTGGCAGTGCTCTGGTGGGACTTTCTCAACAGGACTGGACGTGTAGCAGTACTCTGGTGGGACTTTCTCAACAGGACTGGACGTGTAGCAGTACTCTGGTGGGACTTTCTCAACATTACTGGTCGCGCGCCTAAATGTGGTTGCACGGTTGAGCTTCAGCTGCTAAGCCCCGCCCTCATTGATTTGTTTATGCAATAATTTCCTTTCTCCATTAATTTTGATATATAACCTTAAAAGAAAAAAAAAATTCCATCATTTTGTTTCGTTTATAATCCTTATTCTCAAAATTGTTTCAAATGCCTTGTAACTATTTTCAGTATTGAATTTTTTATATTTTTTATTATCTCATGTTAAAATCTATTCCAACATCTGTATATATTACCTCAATATCTGTAGATATTACCTCAACATCTGTAGATATTACCTCAACATCTGTAGATATTACCTCAACATCTGTAGATATAACTCCAACATCAGCGTTGGAGTTATGTCGGTCCTGAGATCTTTCTCTTTCTCCATGGAGGGAAGTTGTCTTCCCTTCATTTGGAGGGAAGGATGCTGAAGTCATTTGGCTTCTGTTATCTTCATATTATTGCACTTTTCAGGGTTAAATTCCAGTAGCCATTTCTCAGACCACATTTGAAGTCTGTCTACATGAGCCCTTTAATTATCTCAGTCAATTTATATAATCCGAAAACATGAATGTGAATGTACCGGGGGACTACATCCCCAGTCTTGTACCGGGGGACTACATTCCCAGTCTTGTACCAGGGGACTACATTCCCAGTCTTGTACCGGGGGACTACATTCCCAGTCTTGTACCGGTGACTACATTCCCAGTCTTGTACCGAGGGACTACATTCCCAGTCTTGTACCGGGGGACTACATTCCCAGTCTTGTACCGGGGGACTACATTCCCAGTCTTGTACCGGGGGACTACATTTCCAGTCTTGTACCGGGGGACTACATTCCCAGTCTTGTACCGGGGGACTACTTCCCCAGTCTTGTACCGGGGGACTACATTCCCAGTCTTGTACCGGGGGACTACATTCCCAGTCTTGTACCGGTGGACTACATTCCCAGTCTTGTACCGGGAGACTACATCCCCAGTCTTGTACCGGGGGACTACATTCCCAGTCTTGTACCGGGGGACTACATTCCCAGTCTTGTACCGGTGGACTACATTCCCAGTCTTGTACCGGGGGACTACATTCCCAGTCTTGTACCGGTGGACTACATTCCCAGTCTTGTACCGGGGGACTACATTCCCAGTCTTGTACCGGGGGACTACTTCCCCAGTCTTGTACCGGGGGACTACATTCCCAGTCTTGTACCGGGGGACTACATTCCCAGTCTTGTACCGGTGGACTACATTCCCAGTCTTGTACCGGGGGACTACATTCCCAGTCTTGTACCGGGGGACTACATCCCCCAGTCTTGTACCGGGGGACTACATTCCCAGTCTTGTACCAGGGGACTACATTCCCAGTCTTGTCCCGGGGGACTACATTCCCAGTCTTGTACCGGTGGACTACATTCCCAGTCTTGTCCCGGGGGACTACATTCCCAGTCTTGTATCGGTGACTACATTCCCAGTCTTGTACCGGGGGACTACATTCCCAGTCTTGTACCAGGGGACTACATTCCCAGTCTTGTCCCGGGGGACTACATTCCCAGTCTTGTCCCGGGGGACTACATTCCCAGTCTTGTACCGGGGGACTACATTCCCAGTCTTGTACCAGGGGACTACATTCCCAGTCTTGTCCCGGGGGACTACATTCCCAGTCTTGTACCGGGGGACTACATTCCCAGTCTTGTACCGGTGGACTACATTCCCAGTCTTGTCCCGGGGGACTACATTCCCAGTCTTGTACCGGGGACTACATTCCCAGTCTTGTACCGGGGGACTACTTCCCCAGTCTTGTACCGGGGACTACATTCCCAGTCTTGTACCGGGGGACTACATTCCCAGTCTTGTACCGGGGGACTACATTCCCAGTCTTGTACCGGGGGACTACATCGCCAGTCTTGTACCGGGGGACTACATTCCCAGTCTTGTCCCGGGGGACTACATTCCCAGTCTTGTACCGGGGGACTACATCGCCAGTCTTGTACCGGTGGGCTGCATCTCCAGTCTTGTACCGGTGGGCTACATCTCCAGTCTTGTACCGGGGGACTACATCGCCAGTCTTGTACCGGTGGGCTACACCGGTACAGTGTGGGGTTGTGGCCGTTTTCTTGCTTTCGTAGTAAATTGTTAATTGTATCTTCTGATTTTTGTCTGTAGGGATAACGTTCCTATTAATAATATCTTTCAGGAAACTTTCCTCCGTATTGTGCGCCGTCGAAAAGAAGTTCTTGTAAAGTAGTCTAATAAGGGGTACAAGTGTTGTGTTGATTCACTCTTCATAGGTTGCATGGCGTTTCACCTTTCTTTTGATGACTGACACAATATTAAATCTATGGCGTTTTCAGAGTTTCATTTCACCTCCACGGTGAAAAGTTCTTCAGATTGATTGATTGATGAAGATTAAGCCACCCAAGAGGTGGCACGGGCATGAATAGCCCGTAAGTGGTGGCCCTTTTGAGCCATTACTAGTATCAAGAGCTGATACTGGAGATCTGTGGAGGCGCGACTGCACCCTGCGTGACGGGAGATGTCTCCCGGACCAAGTGGTGACCAGATGGTGGTTCTTCAGAGATGATGATACTCTTATATAGCTGAACAGCTGACATTCTCTGTGTGTACTTCCTCCTCTCACTACTTGGCACTCCTTAGGGAATACTGCACGCGTTATTACTTCATCTGCCTTCATTTCTACATATGTTTGACCTCGGGATTCAGTTCCCCCTCCACCTATATTCAACCCCTTCTGCTTTATTTTGTCTGTCTGTCAACATCCATATTCCAACATCCAACACATGCATCATTCTTGCCCACCTCCCGCCTATGGAGAGTCTGAGTGCAATCGAAGTGGCCCCAGGAATGTGTTGGATTAACCTGTGTAAAGTTGAGGGGTTGATCGGGTGTAGGGAGAGTGTCTTGGCTCAGGGGAGCTGGTGGAGGGTGGTAGTGGAGGGAGTGAAGCAGGTCCAGCGTTTTGTAAATAAAGGCTGTCGGGAGATTTATTCCCAGGAGGATGTGAAGAATGGGTGTAAGTATATTTAGGGACGTAATAATACACCCCCAGTACACCGGAGTGTAAACAGGGAGCGTAAAAATGGTGTGAGGGATGTGACAGAGACGGCAGGAAGGGACGGGGGTGAGGGGAAGGGACGGGGGTGAGGGGAAGGGACGGGGTGAGGGGAAGGGACGGGGTGAGGGGAAGGGACGGGGGTGAGGGGGAAGAAGAGAGTGGGCACTGTAGGAGACAAGGGTTTTGTCAGGTGAGGGATATATATGGAGGAATGTGTGGGAGTGTGGAAGGGGCGGTTGAGGGTGGGAGTGACAAGGTATGGGACGGTCGTAGGGTGATCCAACACTCCACGTCGCTCTCCCTTCTGAGGTCCAGTCTTATTTAAAATTTGATCGCCAGTTAAAACTGACTCATATGCATATTTCTGCATATAAAATATTTGCAGAAATGCATATTTCATAGAATAGAAATGCATATTTCTCTTAATTTGTGAATGTATCCCTCAGATGATATTTGCTTCACAAAAAACAGCGAGGCGCCATTGAATTTGTAAATTAAATATGAGATGATCCATTCTAACTTTTGTGTTGCTTCATAGATACCAAGTATCTTGAAGGTTACAGTTTCTATATTATGTTTCCCAGGCTTCCAACAGTGTTAGCGTCTCCTCCATCGTCCCACCATCATGTAATGTGCGCGTCTGAAGCTCTGAGCTGCGACTCTCAGCAATGGATCATTTGTCTCCAATGAGACGCTCTGAAGCCTAGTGGCCACACACTTGCCTGACTCCGACGCACTTTCCTTTGGACTTTGTGGACTCTCACTCCGACAAGTCGACACTCGACACTCGACACTCGACACGGTAATTGTGATATGTGTACATAGAGGGTACTCCCTCCCCCCCCCAAGAGAACATATTAACAAAAACTCAATATTCTCTAGATAATGAGTATTTTCCGTAACATACATCAGAAGATGGAGGCCTCTAGTGACCAGTAATATTACCCGAAATATGAATATGTAAGTCTGAATCACATGTGCTAATTGCTAAGCTTGTTGGAAACTAATTGTAAATATTTAACAAGCGATTAATTAAATTAACATAGATTTTCTAATCATCATATTTTAGCCATAGCAGGATAAAACAGGTGATCATAACATATGCTTATAGTGTTATTATAGTGAAGGATAGTGAAGGATAGTGAAGGAAGGCGAGGGTCAGAGAGAGAGAGAGAGAGAGAGAGAGAGAGAGAGAGAGAGAGAGAGAGAGAGAGAGAAGGGGCGAGGGTGGGAGGAAAGAGATTAGAGTATTAGAGGAATAACTGTGTGCAAGGTGAGAGAGTGAGAGGGAGAGGGAGAGAGAGAGGGGTGAGAGAGTAGAGAGATTACACAATGAGAGCCCATGTAGGCCAAGCACAGGATCTACGCTAGTATTTTCACTAAAAAGAGACATGATACAACCGGCTTAAGCAACAGAGCATATCACATACCCTTCAGAGTATACCCTTCCCCCTTCTTCAACCTCATATTGTACCAGAGTATACCTCCACCACAACCCCACACTGTACTAGAGTATACCCCCACCACAACCCCACACTGTACCAGAGTATACCCCACCACAACCCCACACTGTGCCAGAGTATACCCCACCACAAACCCCACACTGTACCAAAGTATACCCCCACCACAACCCCACACTGTACCAGAGTATACCTCCACCACAACCCCACACTGTACCAGAGTATACGCCCACCACAACCCCACACTGTTCCAGAGTATACCCCCACCACAACCTCACACTGTTCTAGAGTATACCCCCACCACAACCCCACACTGTACCAGAGTATACCCCCACCACAACCCCACACTGTTCTAGAGTATACCTCCACCACAACCCCACACTGTACCAGAGTATACCCCCACCACAACCCCACACTGTACCAGAGTATACCCCCACCACAACCCCACACTGTACCAGAGTATACCCCCACCACAACCCCACACTGTACCAGAGTATACCTCCACCACAACCCCACACTGTACCAGAGTATACCCCCACCACAACCCCACACTGTACCAGAGTATACCCCCACCACAACCCCACACTGTACCAGAGTATACCCCCACCGCAACCCCACACTGTACCAGAGTATACCACCACCACAACCCCACACTGTACCAGAGTATACCCCACCACAACCCCACACTGTACCAGAGTATACCCCACCACAAACCCACACTGTACCAGAGTATACCCCCACCACAACCCCACACTGTTCTAGAGTATACCCCCACCACAAACCCCACACTGTACCAGAGTATACCTCAACCACAACCCCACACTGTACCAGAGTATACCCACACCACAACCCCACACTGTTCCAGAGTATACCCCCACCACAACCCCACACTGTACCAGAGTATACCCACACCACAACCCCACACTGTACCAGAGTATACCCACACCACAACCCCACACTGTGCCAGAGTATACCCCACCACAAACCCACACTGTACCAGAGTATACCTCCACCACAACCCCACACTGTAAAAGAGTATACCCACACCACAACCCCACACTGTTCTAGAGTATACCTCCACCACAACCCCACACTGTGCCAGAGTATACCCACACCACAACCCCACACTGTTCTAGAGTATACCTCCACCACAACCCCACACTGTACCAGAGTATACCCCCACCACAACCCCACACTGTTCCAGAGTATACCTCCACCACAACCCCACACTGTACCAGAGTATACCCCCACCACAACCCCACACTGTTCTAGAGTATACCTCCACCACAACCCCACACTGTGCCAGAGTATACCCCCCGCAACAACCCCACACTGTGCCAGAGTTTACCCCCCACAACAACCCCACACTGTGCCAGAGTATACCCCCCCCTACAACCCCACACTATGCCAGAGTATACACCCACCACAACCCCACACTGTACCAGAGTATACCCCCACCACAACCCCACACTGTACCAGAGTATACCCCACCACAACCCCACACTGTACCAGAGTATACCCCCCACAACAACCCCACACTGTGCCAGAGTATACACCCACCACAACCCCACACTGTACCAGAGTATACCCCCACCACAACCCCACACTGTACCAGAGTATACCCCACCACAACCCCACACTGTACCAGAGTATACCCCCCACAACAACCCCACACTGTGCCAGAGTATACACCCACCACAACCCCACACTGTACCAGAGTATACCCCCACCACAAACCCCACACTGTACCAGAGTATACCCCACCACAACCCCACACTGTACCAGAGTATACCCCCCACAACAACCCCACACTGTACCAGAGTATACCCCCCCCCCTACAACCCCACACTGTGGCAGGAAGCGTGCAGCTTGCACATGCAGCCAGGAATGCAAATTCAGTTTGGACATTTAACCCCAGTTGCACGCTCCTCCACACAAAGAAAACGCGAGTGATGGCATTGTATCAGAGCACATAAGAATATTCTTGCATACATCTTGAGTAATATGCAGTCTTCTCATTTTCTTGAGTATTTTAGAAGAAAAACACCCAATTTTTAGGCATGAAAGGTGTTTTGTCTGGGCCACGACCCATTACAGCGAGTGCCGCCGGGGTCAGAGACCTCCGGCACAATGTTTCTAAACACGCCAAGCGCTGCGATAATGTCAGGAGGAGTAAGTGATGGTAAAGATGCCAGGCAGTCTAGACTGAAAGTTGGCTTGGAGGAAGAGATGAAAAGTTGGGCAGGTATAGTAGAGGGGCAGGTATAGTAGAGGGGCAGGTATAGTAGAGGGGCAGGTATAGTAGAGGGGCAGGTATAGTAGAGGGGCAGGTATAGTAGAGGGGCAGGTATAGTAGAGGGGCAGGTATAGTAGAGGGGCAGGTATAGTAGAGGGTCAGGTATAGTAGAGGGGCAGGTATAGTAGAGGGGCAGGTATAGTAGAGGGGCAGGTATAGTAGAGGGGCAGGTATAGTAGAGGGGCAGGTATAGTAGAGGGGCAGGTATAGTAGTGGAGAAGGTATAGTAGAGGGGCAGGTATAGTAGAGGGGCAGGTATAGTAGATGGGAAGGTATAGTAGAGGGGCAGGTATAGTAGATGGGAAGGTATAGTAGAGGGGCAGGTATAGTAGAGGGGCAGGTATAGTAGAGGGGAAGGTATAGTAGAGGGGAAGGTATAGTAGAGGGGCAGGTATAGTAGTGGGGAAGGTATAGTAGAGGGGCAGGTATAGTAGAGGGGCAGGTATAGTAGAGGGGCAGGTATAGTAGAGGGGCAGGTATAGTAGAGGGGAAGGTATAGTAGTGGGGCAGGTATAGTAGAGGGGCAGGTATAGTAGAGGGGCAGGTATAGTAGAGGGGCAGGTATAGTAGAGGGGCAGGTACAGTAGTATAGGTATAGTAGAGGGGCAGGTATAGAGGGTAGAGGAGCAGGTATAGTAGAGGGGCAGGTATAGTAGAGGGGCAGGTATAGTAGAGGGGCAGGTATAGTAGAGGGGCAGGTATAGTAGGTGGG